AGCGGCAGCCCGGCTGACCTAGTCACTGGACATTCACCCGCTCGGGGCCCTCTCAATCCTCTCGAGATCCTCCGCCCAACCCGGACCCCCCCCCCCCGCGTGCAACCCTGTTCCCCTGCTCCTCTGCTGTCGCCGCCCTGCATCCTCTCCCATCCTTCCCAGGCCCTTTAACACCTCCTGTCCATCTTATCCACCCCGCGAAATCCTCTCTGGGCCCTTGACCTCCTTCCCCAGGTCCCCGAGTGACCTGGGTCAGGCCTCCTTCGGGCCCCCTGGTTGCCCTGGCTGAAGCGCGCCATGCGGCCGCTGGCGCTCGGACTCCGGTTCCTGACGCCGCTGTTTCTGCTCGCGCGGTCAGCACCTGCCTCTGAGCCCTCGGCGCAGGACGTGAGCCTGGGCGTGGTGAGCCGGGGTCCCCGGTCCTCTGGGATCCTCAGGGAGGCTGGGAGAGGAAAGCCGAGCTCCTGAACTTTTGGGTTTGGAGGATGGAGGGGCCAGATTAAAACGTCCGAAGAGTGACTGGGGATGGAGTCTGGGAACCCGGATTATTGAATCTGTCAGTTTTGGAGCCCGGAATTGGAGGTCAGGAAAGGAGCTGGAATGGGATTTGGGCCTCAATTCCTGGGTCCAAATGAAGACTGGCAAACCTGGAGCTGGAAGGTGGGGACCTTGGGAGGTGGAACAGGCCTGCATCCCAGAACTGAGGGCTCTGGCTCTGGAAGGCAGGGGCTTCCAGGATGGTGGTGAGCTTCTGACTTCATCCGTCCCCGCTGATCCTAGGACTGGCTGAGACTCTATGGCTACTTACCAACACCAGATCCTGCCCAGGCCCAGCTGCAGAGCCCTGAGAAGCTGCGTGATGCCATCAAAGTCATGCAGAGGTTCGCTGGGCTGCCTGAGACAGGACGCTTGGGTAAGTGCTGCAGCCCTGCCACTGCCCCTAACCTGACCATCATCATCCTGCAGTCCTTAAACTTCAGCGCTCTTGAATCACAGGAGCTTATGAGGATGCTGAGCTCAAATTCCAGCCACAAGCCCCTGTGGTTCTCAGGCATTTATCTCCCCCATCCCCCAAACACCCTGAGGGATTGAAGCCGGGGTATTTTACCACTGGACTACATCCCCAGACCTTCCTATTTTTTAAGACAGGGTCTTGATAAATTGCCCAGTCTGGACTGGAACTTGAAATCCTCCTGCCTCAACCTCCTGAGTAGCCAGGATTACTGATGAGTGGCACTGTGCGGGGCATTCACCTTTCAATACACCTTTACTGAGAATCTCTTTATGTTTTCATCTATTTTAGGCTCCACTGTTAAAGTACTGTTGGAAATAGGCCCCTGCACTCCTGGAGCTAACATTCTGGAGGGAGAAGAAAGGCAGATCAGGAACATAAATATGCAAGATAGTTTCAAATGATCGTGTTTTGAAGAAAATAAAATGCTAATAATATCCAGAGCTGGGTACGCCCCCCCCCACCTTTTTTTTTCTTTCTTTCTTTCTTTTTTTTTTTTTTTGTACTAAGGATTGAACTCAGAGGCACTTGACCCCTGAGCCACATCCCCAGCCCTTTTATATATTTTATTTAGAGACAGAGTCTCACTGAATTGCTTAAAGCCTCACTTTTGCTGAGCTGGCTTTGAACTTGAGATCCTCCTGTCTCAGCCTCCTAAACCACTGGGATTACAGGTGCTGAGATTATAGGCGTGTGCCACCACGCCTGCCTGGCACTTTTCCCCTCTTTGATGTTGAGCTTTAAGCATTCTAGGCAAACACTCTACCACTAAACCACATGCCCAGCACCTTTTTTTTTTTTTTCTTAATTCTGAGACAAGGTTTCCTAAGTTGCTCAGACTGGCCTTGAGCTTTCAGTTCTCTCGCTTCAGCATCCCAAGTAGCTAGGCCACACCCAGCTAGGCCTCTGAAAGATGTCACATGATGCAAGACCACAAAAAGGAAGAGTAGTCAAGGGAAGATGTAAGAGAAAATGTCTCAGCAAGTGAAAAGACCCCGGGACAGGCACAACTTTATGTGCCTGGAGTAAAAGAAACCTGAAGCGCTTAGGTAGGGGTCTAATTGGAAACCTTGGTGCATGACTGTAATCCCATAGATTTAGCCAGACCAGCCTCAGCAATTTAGCAAGACTCTCAGCAACTTGTTGAGACCCTGTCTCAAAAAATAAATAAGATAGAGCTTTGTGGTAAGGCACCCCCAGGTTCAATCCCCAGTATCAAAAAAAAAGAACTTGAATAAAGGGACTCAAAAATGTTTGGGTTTTGATTCTGAGTGATAATAACCAGAAAAGGATTTGAAGAAGAAAAACAACTCAGTCTGACTTGCAGTTTTAAACTTGGTTGCTGAGGGTGGAGGTGGGGCTCCTGGAGAACAGGAAGGAGGCAGTTGTAGCCCCAGATGGCCTGGAGTGGGGGGTGTAGCCAGAGCAGTTGAATTGAGGGCATGCATTTTAGAGGTAGGTGGTAAGGATTGAACCTAGGGTCGCTTAACCACTGAGTCACATCTCCAGCCCTTTTTACGTTTTATTTAGAGACAGGATCTCACTAAGTTGCTTAGGACCTCAATAAATTGCTGAGGCTGCCCTTGAACTCACAATCCTCCTGCCTCAGCCTCCCAAGTCAGTGGGATTACAGGCATTTGCCACCATGTCTGACCTCTGTGGAGTTAAATGGGGTGGAAAAGGAGCTTAAGAATGTTAACTAGGGGAAGATTCTGCCTCATTCACTCTTGGAACAGCCTAGAACAGGGTCTGGCATCTGTATGTTCTCAAGTTTTATTTGTCACCTCAACCGATAATATGTGGTTTGACCTTAGTTTGAAAATGAGGAATTTGATCCCCAGCACAGAAAAAAAAAAATAAACAAAACCTAAAAATGAGGTGGTAGCTGGGAATGGAGCTGAACTAGAAAAGGGGGTTCCCAGGAGACCCAACCTGGGACAGTGGCTTGGCACAGGGGTCGGAGATCTCTCCTAGTCTGGGGACTTGGGACTTGATCAGCATCCCGTGATGACTTTACCTCTCAGAGCCTCCCTTTCCCCATGAATAAGGATAACTGGTGCATGGTTAGGGTAAGCTTTCCTGCTGCTGACCCTGTCCCTCATGGTCTCCCACAGATAAAAGGACTATAGAAACCATGCACAAGCCCCGTTGCTCCCTGCCTGACGTGCTGGGGCCTGCAGGGCTGGTTAGACGGCGCCGCCGCTATGCTCTGAGTGGCAGTGTGTGGAGGAAGCGAATCTTGACCTGGAGGTAGGTCCTGGGGCCTGCCCTCCCCTGGGCCTGCCTGCTGGGTCCCAGGCTTGCATGTCTGCCCTTGCCTCTATCTCCACCTGCTCCCCTCCTCTCTCCTCAGGGTACAGTCCTTCCCCCAGAGCTCCCTGCTGAACCCTCAGATAGTGCGGACCCTCATGAGCTATGCCCTGACCGTCTGGGGTGTTGAGTCAGGCCTCACGTTCCAGGAGGTGAATTCCCAGCACCAGGAGGCTGACATCCTCATCGACTTTGCCCGAGCCTACCACCAGGACAGTTACCCCTTCGACGGGCTGGGCGGCACCCTTGCCCATGCCTTCTTCCCTGGGGAGCACCCAATCTCCGGGGACACTCACTTTGATGATGAGGAGATCTGGACTTTTGGGTCGCAAGGTAAAACCTCCCATCTTTGGAGAGGTCCTCTCCCCAGTTCCTGGGCTGCTGGTGGGAACCTAAGAAGGGAAGGGGCAGCTGGGGCTGGTGACCAGGTTCTGTCAGGAATGACAGCTAGTCAGACCCTGTGTTGATGACTGTGTCCCACAGCATGAAGCAGGGGGCTTTTTATAAAAAAATTTTATTTTTGTGGTTCTGAGTTTGGAACCCAAGTTAAAGATATGTCTGAGGTTTAAATGAATTGATCAGTTGAGGTTGTATAAGTTGGGGGTCTCCAGAGAAATTACCAAGAAGATGTGTGTGTGCGATGTGTGTGTGTAGAGATTTGTTGTAAGGAATTGGCTCCCAGGGATTGTAGGGTGAACGAGGCCAATCTGTAGGGCAGGCTGGAAACTTAGTTGGGTTTCTGTCACAGTCTTGAGGCAAAACTCTTTCCCCAAAGCCCTCAGTCTGCTCACGGGGAGTGACCTGTTTGGACACAGACCACCCCAACTGGAATGACTTGCTTTACTGATAGTAGATGTTAGTCGTATCTTCAAATTACTTTCACAACATCTGGACTCGTTTTGACCAAACCCCTGGGCATCATGGCATGGCCAAATTGACACATAAAATTAACCATTGCAGAGGACTACCAGGTGCCTAGCTCTCAGCTGGATTGACTTACAGAGCCTAAGCCACCTTTCTGTCAGCAGCTAAGGCAAAAGAATAATAGGCAGTTACTACACACAGTGACTCAATGGCCTGCAGTCACAGCTGAGGAAGTCCTAGAGCCTAGGGCTGCTCAGAGGTGAAGGGGTGACTCCATTCATTCAATATAAATATGCACTGAGCACCAAGAAGCAAGGCTGCATGGGTAGGCGGGTGGGGTGGGGGGCAGACAGAACTCTCACAATGAGAAAGCAAAGCCAGTGAGCTAGCAGAGTGCCAGGTACTCAGGAAGAGGGGGGCGGGGGGAGACATAGTCTGAGGCAAGAAGGCAAAAATCTGGCTTTGGAAAGGAGATGGCATAGGATGAATGGTGGGTCGTAGATCATAATGGACCTTCAAGAGCAAGTGGAAGAATTTGGACAGTGGGGCTCTGGAGGCTGTGGGGAGCTATCAAGAGATTTTTTTTTTTTTTTTTTAAAGAGAGAGTGAGAGAGGAGAGAGAGAGAGAGAGAGAGAATTTTTAATGTTTTATTTTTTAGTTCTCGGCGGACACAACATCTTTGTTGGTATGTGGTGCTGAGGATCGAACCCGGGCCGCACGCATGCCAGGCGAGCGCGCTACCGCTTGAGCCACATCCCCAGCCCTCAAAGGATTTTTGTTAAATTTTTTTTTTGGTGGTTGTAAATGGACAGAATGCCTTTATTTGTTTATTTTTATGTGGTGCTGAGGATCAAACACAGTTTCTCACACATGCTAGGCAAGTGCTCTACCACTGAGCCACAACCCCAGCCCCATCAAAGGATTTTGCATTCTAGAAATATTGCTGGCTGTATGAGGGGGTAGAGAGAGACAGGGAGGCAAAGCTGCTGCAGGGTCCAGGTAAAAGATGGAGGTGGGCCATGGGGTGGGGGTTTGGATCTGAGGGAAGCCAGGAGGGATGGGATGAGCAAAGATCTGGCTGGATTCTGGGGACCAGGAGACAAGAAGTGTGTAATGACATCCAGGATCCAGCATAGGTCCTGGAGGATGGCTGCTGTTAGTGCACATGGGGGAGGGCATCAGGCTGGCCCAAGGTGGGAGGAGTGCAGGTGTGGAGCCTGTTTGCCGTGCACCAGTGTTCCATGCGGATGCTACAAGCACTGAGAATCATGCTCTAGACTTGGGCTCCTTCCTAGGTCAGGTTCCCTGGAAGTGAAGGCCTAGATGGAAATTGTTATGCAAGCAGTTTCTCAGGGGCATGCACTTGGGAAAGGGAAGGAAGAGGGGGTGAGAAGCTGAGCAAGGATGTGGTCTCAGCTGGAGAGGAGACTGCTCCCCTGGAGCTCTCTAGTGGGAACAGCCTGGGGCAGGGCTGGCTCTTCCCAGACTTACATTGCCAGTCCTTGTCTGTGAGCTGCTGGGGGGAGCCTGAGTGGGGCAGGGGCAGCTGGAGTTGGTGCTCAGGCTCTGTCAGGGCTTGACAGCTCATCAGAGACTGCATCCATGACAGTGAGGCAATGTCCTGCAGAATTAAACAGGTGGGCTTTTAAATTTTTTTATTTATATATTTTTGTGGTTCTCGATATGGAACCTAGGGCCTCTCAGATGCTAGGCAAGTGCTGTACCACTGGGCTGTACCCACAACCCAAGCAGGTGGGCTTTGAAGCTGAATCAAGTCAGGGTTCCTCCACTTGTAATGTGTACAAGTTACTTAACCACGTTGCACTCAATTTCCTCAACTGAGAAATGGGGGATGGGAACAGTACCTGCTGGCAGTGTGGTCTGTGGATTAGATGAGTAATCTACCTCCAGCCCTTTACTTGCTCAGAGTCTGGTGCAGAATGGTGCTCTAAGCACTGCCAACCCTTATTAGAGCTGAACCTGGGGGCAGAGTTAGTGTCCTTGGGGTTTGTAAGCTTACCAGGAAGAAAATGTAGCATGTAAAGGTTAAGGACAGAGCTGTGGAGAGCCCCAGGGCTAAGAGGTGGGTGGCTGGGGAAGAGGAATTAACAGAGATGGAGAAAGAACAGGCCAAAAGGTGATGAAGAACAAGAGTCAAGGAGGAAGTGGTCAGCAATGGCTACAGCAAACAAACTCAGTAAATTACGGGCATTAGATTTGGTCATCCAGGAAACAAGTGACATTCTTAGTGTCTGCAGACTCCATCACTGGGGGAAGATCCCAAACTGCAATGGGTTCAGGTATGAAAGGAGCTAAAGAACTGGACTGAGTTTAGATTATTGACTAAGGAACGTGGCTGAGGAGGGACTGCAGAAAGCAGTGTGACTGGGTATCTGCCCCAGGTCACAGATTCCATTGGACTTGATGAAGCAGGATGTGTGCTTGTTAGCATCTGTCATCTGAAGGTGGGACTTATGACTGGGTTGCAGCTTTGGGGCCTTGTGGACATGGAAAGGAAGCTGAGGGGAGAGAGTAGAGGAGTTGCTTGCTGGGACAAGGGCAGGGATGATAGGAGGTGTCAGGTCCCTTGCACACTACCCATCAGGACTCTGGTGGGGCTAGGCCTGCACGGTTGTGTAATTTCCCCAGCTGCATGGCGTGAGAAGGGTGTAGGAAGGGTTGCCTGGCTCAGAAACCCCATGTCCCCAAAGTAGAGATGAAGCAAGGGAAGAAGGTGAAAGAACAAAGCTCTCGCGAGTTGAGACACCAAACTTCCTCCAATTTCTCAGAAAAAGGATTTGGAACAATAATAAGACCTGCAGTCAATGTGGAAATTGATCAGACATTTGCAGTTTTGAGGGTGCACAGGCAGGGCAATTGGCCTCAATCCCCCCCTCTATAAAATGAGGATAGGAAGTGGAGGTTTGAGAGGTAAATGAGGCCTCCTAGGATTTACCGCTCCCATACTTAGGTATCAGCCCTCAGGGGCTTTAGAGAAACTTGCTTTTCAATTCGCCAGGCCATTTCCAATAATGCTGTTTTCAATGTTGCTAGCCCTAGTTAGAGATTCCCACAAACTAGATCAACATCTGCAGAAATACATGCTCACTGATGTGTTGCCTGGCTCTGTCACTGCCTCTTCTGGGTGGGGCCTTTGACGGGAGCAGGAGCCAGGCAGATCGATGAGGAACTAGGCCCTCAGTCGCTGGAGCTGGATCTCCAGGGAAGAAGTTTCTGTGGTGGGAAGAGGCTGAGAGAGGCTGTGGTCTGAGAGTGCATACTGGAGGGAGTTCCATGTTCCTGTGGAGATGGAACAAGGCCAGGGAGAGGAGGGGCAAGGACTCCAGGGAGGGGGAGGGGGAGGGGAGAGGGGAGCTGTGGGCAGGGGAGATGGCAGAGGGGGGACAGAGGATGTGGGAATGTGGGCCAAGGAATAGGGGCAGAGGAAATGAAAGGTGAGTGGGAGGGACCTGGGTTGGGGATGGGGAACAGGGACCTCTGCTCATGGACTAGATCTTAGAGGAGGGAATGCTCCAAAGCACGGTTTTCCTGGAGAGAACTACAGGCACCCAGGGTTCTTGCTGCTCTGAGCTTCTATAAGCAGTCTTCCCTTCAAGAGAGGGGCTGCACTTGTGTAAGGTCACTCTTCCTCTGTCCATTCTTGGGTCTCTTCATCCCTGTACCCAGTATCAGCACCATCAACTAGGGCAATTCAAAAAATATTTGCTGAAAGAATTCAGTAATAACATGGCTCAATGAGGGGTCAGGGCAGAGGAGGCTGGAGTCCCCTCCCAAGGGTCTTTCGGTGCTTCCTGCAGACCAGCAGGTCCCACTTCCCATGCATTCTTTCCAAGTGTGGGGTGCCCTCAGCTCCAACCTTCTTTTCCCCTCCCCAGATGGTGAGGGTACTGACCTGTTTGCTGTAGCTGTTCACGAGTTTGGCCACGCCCTGGGTCTGGGCCATTCCTCCGCACCCAACTCCATTATGAGGCCCTTCTACCAGGGCCCAGTGGGTGACCCTGACAAGTACCGCCTGTCCCAGGATGACCGTGATGGCCTGCAGCAGCTGTATGGTATGGCAATGAGGGACCTGCCCTGAGTCACTCTGCTGTGGCTCTCCCATAGCCTCTGAGCAGGCCCAGGGAGCCCACACCTGTCTGACTTTTCTTGCAGGGAAAGTGCCTCAAACCCCAAATGACCAGCCCACAAGGAAACCCCTGATTCCTCCAAGGCCCTCTGTCCTGCCCCCTGACAGGTGAGTTCCCCACTAGCTGTGTGACCTTGGATGACCAGTTCCCTAGCCCCAGTGTCCTAGGTGAGATGGGACAGTGAGCCCTGCCTTTCAGGACTGTGGTGGAGGGTAAGGGATGAAGAAGCCCGCCTTCTGCTCACTCACCTTTCCTACCCAGCCCCTCGGCACCTGTCCCTGATCGATGTGAGGGCAGTTTTGATGCCATTGCCAACATCCGCGGTGAAACCTTCTTTTTCAAAGGTAAGTCCCTTTGGTTGGTCCCTGACTCCCTTGGCACCATGGTTGGCTTCCTGTACACTTCAGGTGACCCCCACCACAGGCTTCAACGTTCCCTGGGAAGTGTGATTTTTAGTGCTAAAAAATGGGAACTCCTGGGCAAGCCAAAAGGAGTCCGACGCCCTAGATTGAGTCGCCCTTGATTTCCAGATGGACACCCCAGATGGACAGATGGGTAGTGTGCAAGGGACCTTGTGGGGTGGGAAGACCCAGCCCTCCCTCGGCCACACACTCTAGGCGGGGGCGGGGCGTCCTCCTACCATGTCATGACCCCATGCCCTCCCCTTCTTGCCCCTAAGGCCCCTGGTTCTGGCGCCTCCAGCCCTCAGGACAGCTGGTGTCGCCCCGACCTGCCCGGGTGCACCGCTTCTGGGAGGGGCTGCCCTCGCACGTGAGGGTCATCCAGGCCGCCTATGCTCGGCGCGGAGATGGCCGAATCCTCCTTTTCAGCGGTGAGTAGGGCCCCAGGTGGCCGGGTCCGAACCGGCTCCGGAACCGTGCTGGTGACCAGGCTGCCTCCCTCCAGGCCCGCAGTTCTGGGTGTTCCGGGAGCGGCAGCTAGAGGGCGCAGCGCGGCCGCTCGAGGAGTTAGGGCTGCCGCCGGGCGAGGTCGTAGACGCCGCGTTCTCGTGGCCATTCAACGGGAAGACCTACCTGATCCGGGGACAGCAGTACTGGCGGTACGACGAGGCGGCCTCGCGCCCGGACCCGGGCTACCCGCGCGACCTGAGCCTCTGGGAAGGGGCGCCTCCCGCCCCCGACGATGTCACTGTCGGCAACACAGGTCCGGGGACGCAGGGGAGGGGGCTGGCGGTCGCCGGTCCCAGGGGGACTCGGGGTGAAGCAAGAGGGGCGCGGCTTGGGGCAGGCCTGGACCAACGCCTGAAAAGTCTCCTCCGCCACAGGTGACACCTTCTTCTTCAAGGGCGCCCACTACTGGCGCTTTCCCAAAGGCAGCGTCAAGACCGCGCCGGACTCCCCGCAGCCCATGGGGCCCAAGTGGCTGGACTGCCCGGCCCCCGACTTTGTCCCTCACACTCCTGAGCCCCGCAAACCGACCCCCAAGCCCGGAACCTGTGATTGTCGGTGCGAGCTCAACCAGGCCTCCGAGAGGCCGCCCGCGCTGCTTCTGCTGTCCCTCCTGCCCCTGCTGGCGGGCGTCCTCTTCTGCTGAGGGCAGGGACGTCCTGAGCGGAACAGCGCCCTACACCGAGCAGGGCCGGAGTCTCTGCTGGACCTTGCGTGGGGCTGTTAGTCTGTCCCCTCCGCGTAGCTCCCTCCAGCACAGAACTGGTCAGATTCCCTGGGGAGGTCCGGCTGCCACCTGGACTTTACCTCCAGTGCTCTCTGGGTGGCACCCGCCGCCAATGGGCACCAGCGCGCGGTGACCTCCGTGCTCCTTGGGCACCTGCAAGAGCAGCCTCCTTAGACGGTGCAGACTCTACTCCTGAGCCTGGGGAAGGGGCGGGATGCCGAGGCAATGGGGGCGGGGAGGGGGCAAGAGGCAGAGCTAAGCACGGGGACTGAACACTTACACATACTCTGCGGTCCCCCTTGCGGTCATAGGGAGGGGACAGCCTGGCCTACATCTCGGCCACCCGCTGCCCCAGTAGGACTTTCCTTTCCCCAGAACAGCCTGGCTTTCTTGGAACTCAGTCCTTGGAATCTCTGTCCCCCACCACGCAGGCAGCAGTGTCCGGCCTCCCACACACAGCTGCCCAGTTTCCTTGAATCTTCTCACCTGACCTGGTGCCACACTGTCCCACTGCAAATATGATGGGGGGCCCAGACTAAGCCTGGAGATCTCCTTGCAGATCCGTGCCTCACATCCTGGGTGCCATCAGTGGCCACATGGATGGTACTCCCCACCTCTGTCCCCATTAACCTCCTTTCTAGTTGTCCTGAACCCAGGCCACACAGCCTGGAAACCACCCTAACCCCAGGACTTCCCCCATTCAAGTAGACACCCTCCTATCCTGAACATCCTCTCCTGGCCTGCAGGAGTGACTGGAGCTTCATTTAGCACAATTTGGCTCCAGGTGGCCCCTGCTGCGGGGAAGACATGGACAGATCCCTCTTTCAAGTCTCCTCAATACCTTCTCAGCACTCCTGGAGGCCCTAGTCCTAGGCTAAAGAGTAGATGAAACCCAGGATTCCTCTTTCATCCCAATTCCCCAAAGACTCAAGACCTTCATCACTGTCTCTGGAAATAGGCTCCTGGAATAGTCCATATCAGAATCACCAGATGAGAATTTAGATATGTGGATCCCATTCCCTCACTCTGAATCCTCATTCTGGGAGTGAGGTCTGGCATCTATATTTTAACAAGCTTGTGGGTGATTGCACCCTGATGGTCAAGGAGGCTAGCTCTCATGGCATGGCTATGTCCCTTCCAAGTCCTCCCTCCCAGGGACCACTCTATATTGCCTATAGAGCCAGGCTGGTTGAGAGGTGTCCACTCCCCATAGGTGGAGTCACTTAGTGGGTCACTTTGTGATGGCATTTAGCTTTAATGGGAAGTTGTCCCCAGTTGTTCCTGACACCCAGACTAGCATGAGGACAAGAACCAGCCAAGTAGGAGAGGGAAACAGGGATCCACATTCAGGAGGAGAATAAAAATAATAAGGAGAGCTGGGCGCGGTGGTGCATGCCTGTAATCACAGCAGCTTGGAAGGCTGAAGCTGGAGGATCCCAAGTTCAAAGCCAGCCTCAGTGATTTAGCAAGGCTCTAAGCAACTCAGTGAGACCCTGTCTCTAAATAAAATATAAAAAGGACTGGGGATGTGACTCAGTGGTTGAGTGCCCCTGGGTTTAATCCTCAGTACCAAAAAAAAAAAAAGAAAGAAAGAAAGAAAAAAAAGAAGAGAGAGAGAGAGAGCCCTTCATTTCTTCTGAGCACTGATGGACCTGAGGTGCAGTTGGTGGCAGAAACTAGGCAGATTTGAATCAATCACTGTTTTACAGAAAAAGTTGGGATCAATGGTTGATGGGAACAGGGCGTTATTGAAGTAGGAAACGTGGGAGGAAGAAGCTCAGATGGATACCTGAAAGTTGGTTGAGGAGGAGCCAGAGGAAAGAAGGCCCCTGTGCAACTGAGATGTTTTCAAGACTACATGCAAACTTCTTCAGCTGCAAATACTCAAGTCCACTACATAAAAATGTCATATCAAAATGATTACTTGTATTTTCAAAATGGTACAGTCCTAATACCAAAATTAAAACCTTTCATGCTTCAAAGGACACCATAAAGAACTTAGAAAGACAACCCATAGCATAGGAGAGAATATTTGCAATTCATATATCTGATAAGCGACTTGTATCAATAAATATAAAGAACCCAATTAAAAATGGGCAACGGAAAGCCATGCATGATGGCACATACCTGTAATCCCAGTGGCTCAAGAGGCTGAGGCAGGAGATCACAAATTCAAAGCCAGTCTCAGCAATTTAGCGAGGCTCTAAGCAACTTAGCAAGACCCTGACTCAAAATAATAATTAAAAAAAGAAAAAAAGGGCTGGACTAGGGCTGTGGTTCAGTGGCAGAGCTCTTGCCACACTTGAGGCACTGGGTGCAATTTTTAGCACCTCATACAAAAATGAGCAAAATAAAGGCAGGCTGTCCATCTACAACTACCAAAAAAAAAAAAAAAAAAAGGACTAGGGATGTGCCTCAGTGGTTAAGTACCCCTGGGTACAAAAAAAAAAGGGGGGGGGGCAAAGGAGCCAGGAGCAGTGGTACATGTCTGTAATCCCAGCAGTTGGGGAATCTGAGGCAGGAAGATCACAAGTTCCAGGCCAGCCAACTTAGTGAGACTCTATCTCAAAAATAAAAAGGGCTGGGGGATTTAGTTCAGTGGTAGAGCACCCCTGGGTTTACTCCTCATAGAATGGAATGTCATTCAGCAGTAAAAATGAGTGAAGCATTGATTCAGGCTACAATATAGATAAGACCTTGAAAATCTGATGCTTGGTTAAAGCAGTCAGACACAAAAGGCTACATATTGTATGATTCTATGCATATGAATGTCTAGAACAGGCAAATCTATAGACAGAAAATGAATAATTGATTGATAGACGATATTGGGGGATGGGGAGATAGCTATTTGGAAGTAATGGTTCAGGGGACAGATTTTTTTTTTTTCCTTTTTGTGGTACTAGGGGTGGAACCCAGGATCTCATGAATGCTAGGCAAGTGCTCTATCACTGAGCTACACCTCTAGTGGAAAAAAAATTTTTTGTACCTGGGGGCGCTAGAGCACTGAGCCACTTCCCTAGCCCTTTTTATTTTTTATTTTGAGACAGGACTTTGCTAAATTGCTGGGGCTGGCTTTGAATTTGCAATCTTCCTGCCTCAGCCTCTGGAGTCCCTGGGATTACAGGTGTGTGCCACAGTGCCTGGCAGAATTTCTTTCTTTCTTTCTTTCTTTCTTTCTTTCTTTCTTTCTTTCTTTCTTTCTTTCTTTCTTTCTTTCTTTCTTTCTTTCTTTCTTTCTTTCTT